CGTGGCCACCACAGGCTGCTCAGAGAGTGCTGGGCAGTGAGGGAAGAGGCAGTACGTTGGTCCAGCGGCGAGAGACGCCCAACCCGTGCTCCCCGTGCTCCCCGTCACTCACAGCGTTTGACACCGCCCTGGCTGGCTGTGCTGCTGCTGCTTTGCTTCTTCAGAGCCAGCAATGCCTTTTTCTGGGAACGAGGGTGAGAGGAGAGAGGTCAGCGACAGCCAGTCCCTGGACAGGTCCTCTCCCAAGGCCACTGGACACACACGCCTTTCTTGGAGAAAACAGTGCAAATGGTATCCCCAGAGGGGTACAATGAGGCAGGCCTGCCTCTCACATCTAGTCTCCCAGATCATCTACAATGCCAGCAACACCGAATCCAACCAGTACCCTGAAGCTTTCCAGAGTGTCATTTTTGAAAACTGAAGATGAAGAACTCACTTATGAAGCTGCGCTCCAGGATATAAGCTGCAAATAAATACAAGGCTATGTGTCTTTCTCGAGGGTTTCGTCCATCCAGCCCCTGCATATTTAGCGAGGCCCGACCTTGACCTTGTAACAGGGATATACAGTATGTGATCCAAACCTTCAAGAAACTTATGGTATAGGGAATAAATCAACTAGATTGAACGGCCCGAAATGCTTATGACGGGTGCAGATTACCCACAGCTGAAAGCAAACAAGATTTTCTGATATTTAATGGCAACTGGGCACTGCAGAAGAGAAGGAAGACAGCAGTGACAGGCGCACAGCTCAGGCGGCTTTGGGAATGCACTCGCTGGAACTGTGAGCTGTTCTATGGGATGAGACGTGGATGACAAACTGAGGTTTTGGGGCTTTGTTCTATACACAATGTGACACCACTCGTGGGGTTTGGAGAGAACACAAAGTTTGTGTTTTCAGTGCATCAGTTTAAAAGAGGCGAAGAAGTCAGTCCAAAAAAGACTGAGAAATTTGTTGAGAGAACATTACAACAGCCCAGATGAGTGTTAGCAAAGTCCTGCTCAGGGGAATACACAGGAAAGAACAAGCAGGAGAAATCACTTAAAAGGAATTTTTTTTTTTTCTTAAAGGTTTTCACCATAGGGCAAAAACAGGCTTTCACTGGAGAGAGACAGAGACAGAGAGAGGGAAAGTGAGGAAATCACCCTTCAGGGATGGCCACACTGCAATCCCTTCTCTTTCTGGGATTTCGGGCATGCACACACGTGCATCTGATGTGATTTTCAAGCCCCCAGGTCTGGGACTTGAACCGCAGTTAGCCATGAGGGAATCCAGAGCTTTCACCACACCACCTGCTGGCCCCTGGGAGGAATTACTTTAAAAAGAAGAATCAAGATGTGGCCAATGTGTGGTCATACACACTAGAATAGATGTCAGAGATGAGATTTTGAGTCCAAACACATAGGAGAATTGAGTATCTTCAGTCCTATTTGGAAAATCAAGAAAAGGAACTAGGTTAGAATAGTTAAGAAAGAGCTTCCATTTTTTAGTATTTGGAAATGATCAGTAAGACATTGAATGGAATTAGAAAAATGAAGCCTGGGGAGGAGCAGCTCTTCAGTGATACTAAAAGCCATAGGTCAGGAAAACAATGCCCCAGCATAGATAAGAGAAAGTCCACACTAAGATTTGGGAAAGCTACGCTGAAAGGTGACATGCCTCCAGATATGAGCCTGAAGAAGCCCCCTGCCCTGCCCAGTGCCCTCACACTCACCCCAAGAGTTCTCGGGGTGCAGGGTATGCCAAAGGTTGAAGCCTACACCCCCACACACTCTCTCACCTTTTTTTTCAGTTTGTTGAATTTCTTCTGCAGAGCCTCCTCCTCCTCGCTCAGTCCGGGGGGTATCACCAACATGGTGGCTCCTGGTTCAGGGGCAGGGCCCAAGACATCTTTCTCCACTGTCACCACCCAAGGTTCGCAGCCGTCCACACTGTACCCGACCCCACCCCTCCAGTTCTGCGACTCCTGCCTTTGGCCTTCCCCTACCCCTTGTTTAACTGGGATGCCAACCGAGCTCCCACTCGTGGAGACCGACTAGCCTTGCTTCCCGTGTCCGGGGGTCGCGGACAGCAGCGACCTGGGGTACGACGTGACTCGGGGAGGGAAAAACACCTCCTCTGCCCCAAGAGGGGCACCTGACCCCTCCACTGTCGCTGGGGTTAGGATGGCCAATGGCGGGGTCCGAACGTCAGAGGCGGCTGTGGAACCCTCTGCAGCTCCCAGAGCCACGAAAGGGGGAAGAACAGACAAGGGACGCGGACACAAAGGGACTACGGGGAAGAGCAGAAGGCCTCACCTGAGGGGGCGGCAACCGGAGCCCCGCAGTCCCGGGCGGCGCCCGCGCTGGCCGCCGAGAGCCGGCTCAGCACGATGACGTCGGCAGAGGCGGAGACCGCGGTAACCACGGCGGGCCCCGGCCCCGGCACCTT